ACTACACAATATACCCTCCTCAGACCCTCCCACCCCTTGGAAATTACAGTCTGACTCTGCATTGGCAAGTATGACTTTAACTCCAATTACAATATCTTATTGCTTTTGGCTATTCGTTTTGGGAATTGTTTAAGGCCAAACAAAAAAATAAGTGTGTTTCCAGTTGCGCGACTGACCCTAATTTTCTTGCTGATTTCTGCCAACCCTAATTTTTTTTTTTCATTCCCAAATGCACCACAGGGTTCCCAGTAAGCTCATTTCCACTGTTGTATCTGTAAAAATAAAAGTAAAAAATCCGTCCTACCTACCCCAATTATTTTYCTCATGCAACAGGAAACACACTTATTTTTTTGTTTGGCYTAAAAATGTATTTGATTTATTTTCACAGGGCTACCTATAGTCTTGGCAAGGTGCAACATCGTAAGTACTTTTTTTTAAATAATTAATCTTATAGTTGTAAATTGTCTTGTCAGATTCCTTATGCAGTAATTAATCAAGTTGCATGATTGACCTATGGCCCAGAAATGCTTGACTGTTCATTTTCTTCAACTTTTTACCTTCCCCCACTAACATATTAACACTTTCAAAGGAACATTTTTTAGTAGAAAATTTTGAGAAATGCAGCCAGGAGAAAGGCAGGGTGATATATGTGTGTGTGTGGGTGGGGTGGGTGGGGGGAAGAAGAGGGAATTGCCCCAGAACCATCCCCCTGAAGGTACACCATCTCACTTCATCATTTCCTTTGTTTTTGTTTGCAGGTTAAATGGGGTGCAGTTGGTTTAGTTATGTCTGGAAACATATTCATTTTCGGCACAATATTGGCGTATTTCATGATATTCAGTGGAGACGATGACTGGGGTTTCTAAAACATTCAAAAAGCATCACTAGAAATCTATCCTTTCAGTTGAKCCAGTTGTTGAGTGGTTTCCACTTGAGAGTGCCCAAGGGTGGGATAACCATAAGATGGATACGTTCTCTGCCCCCTTCCACTTCTCTGACCCCTGTTCTAAGCCTCCATAGCTAAGAGAGCACGACTAGCTAGTCCTAGAAAATATCTATACTTGGCCCTGAAAGGGGGAACTGAAATTCTTGGGGAGGTAGGGTGGAGATCGTTGCTGGAAAATATTGACTTATCTTGCTTTTTCGGTAGGGTGAATCATGTATTTAAGAATATGCACCTTTTTGAACAATTTACAATATTGTCAATTTTTAGACCAACCAACTAATTCCAAGCTAGGAAGGGGGTGCTCCAACACCCATAACTGACCCCYAAGTGTATTACTAAAGGGTATATTATTTCTGTGTTTGGAGTGAGAGGGTGAAGACTTTTGGTTTGTCTCAAATRGTAACTGCTTAACTAACTCAACTGTTAGTTGTATTTCAAAATTCATGTCTGCAGTAAAGTACATCATTGATAATGCATGGAAGTGATGCACTGTGCAGTATAGTATATACTGGTACAACTTTTTCTGTCTGGTCTAGAACATTAAGCTGTACTTTAAACAAACACCTGACTAACAGACACCTGACTGGAATCAGGAAACACTTTCGTAGTGGCGAGCAACATATTGATTGTAAATACTGGTATCTATCAAGCTAACTAGCTAAGTTAGGGACGACTATATCCCCCCCTCCCCCCACATTATTCTATATTAAAAACAAAAAATTTCAAGTAAACATTTAATAATTTGCAAATAGATGTAATTAGGATATCAATGCTAAACCAAAAAACTAGCCTTTATGAGTGTGAATTTTGCCATTAAGGGCTGTTATTCTGGTAGTTTACTAATATAATAATATAAGGCTTGACCAAGAGAAAATAAACTAAGAGAAGGAATCCCCATGCCCATCATGTGCACACTTTGATGCTATTTTTAGAAACATTGATGCTATTTTTAACCCGTTACCATGCCTGCGCGATAATCATGCTTCCTTTTAATGACTCGTTTTAGGACACGAAAAGCGCCATATTTCGCTATGTCCACGACAAAAACACAGGCTTTTGTTTATTGCAAGGCTGCCTACCCTCAAGAAATCAACCAATCAGGTTCTTCGCTCAAAATATCTCCAAGCTCAAAATAGCATCAAACTGTGCATATGATGGTTACAAGGCTATATGGGTAGGATTCCTTCTCTTAGTTCATATTCTCTTGGCTTGTCTTCTTTCCTACAGCTCTTTAAATATTTGGTACCTTGTGTCCCTACAGCACATATCTTCASAATTTCGTTCCATCACCTAATAGTAACAGATCCAGAATGATTTCAAGGGCAGTAACTGTAGGAAGGCATCACAGCTTCTTTTTTAGTTTTAATTTTTCTTAATTATTTTTTCATTCCAAACAGAGGTCACCCTCCCCACTTCCTCCATGATCTGCYGTTGATCATTAAACCTGGTCCTCAGTAGTACATAAGCATAAAAATGTACATCCTCACTGGTAAATCCAGTGACATAAGCACAAGCATAAGAAGAATGTCATGKTCCATTTGCTTATGTTATGTTTATGTTGCTAGTGAGGATAAGTCTTAACAGTGTCATTGGAATACTTCCTGAACTAAATATTACTTTATTYCATTAATTTTCTGACTACCAAAATTATGGAATAACTTTAAGAACTTGGCCCAAAAWAACTACACCTTCATAGACATCTGTACTTTAGAAAATCTGCTAATTATTTATTTGAAGATTTGATATTACAATAAAAGTGTCCAGATTAAATCAGCAATATCAATAAAAATAT